TGGAAAGGAGAAATGAGAGAAAGAATAGTCCACACAGGGCCTCCGAAACAGCATTTTCAACATTCTTGGCCAGAGAATTCTTTGCCAGATAAACTTGGCAGTGTAAGATGTCGAGCAGCATCCCTGGTCTCTACCCACTAGGTGCCAGTAACAATTCCCAATTGTGACCATCAAAAATGTTTCCACCATTTTATGTCCTCATAAGGGTTCCAGCTTCTCCACATCCTGGCCATCACTTGCTACTTTTTTCTTTTGTCTGATAGCAGAATCCTAATGGGTGTGAGGTGCTGGCTCACTGTGGTTTTGATTTGCATTTCCCTAATGATTAGTGGTGCTGAGCTTCTCTTCATATACTTGTTGGCCATTGTGTATCTTCTTTGGAGAGATGTCTATTCAAGTCTTTTGCCTATTTTTATTTTTATTTTCAGAATTTATTTATTCATGAGAGACACAGAGAGAGGCAGACACACAGGCAGAAGGAGAAGCAGGGTCCCTGTGAGGAGTCCGATGCAGGACTCAATCCCAGGACCCTGGGATCATGCCCTGAGCCAAAGGTAGACACTCAACCGCTGAGCCACCCAGTCGCCCTCTTTTGCCTATTTTTAATCCATTCATTTTTCAAAACCGTTTCTATAGTTTTATGTAGTTGGAATCATATATGGAGCCTTTTCAGATTGTTTCCTTCCACTGAGCAATACGCATTTAAGGTTCTTCAATGTCTTCTCGTAGCTTGATAGCTCAATTACTTTTTATCACCAAATATTTTATTGCATGAACCACAGTTTATTCACTTACTGAAGGACATCTTGGTTCCTTCCCATTTTTGGCAATTATTAATACATTCTTTTTAAAAAATTAAAAATGCCTAACACAGAATAGCTGCAAGAATACAAAAACTTTCCAAATAATCTTTACCCAGATTTTCCAATTAACATTTATTTCATTCCATCTGGTTTACTGTTTGCTCTCTTTCTCCCTTGCTCTGTACATGCATTTGTTTCTAAATCATTGGAGAGTAATTTGCAGACATCATATCCCTTCCTCCATAAATATTTCAACATGTATTTCCTAAGAACAAGGACAGAACCATTCACTCACTGTGGATATCCCCCAGAGTAGGTAATTAAACCTCGCTGTCAACTACAGAACAGAAATTATGATTCTTTAATTTCATTTAATACAAGAAATGATAATCAAGAAGGGCATCTTCAAAAGGAGTTTGGGTAACAAACTGGATTTATACGCTCATTTCCTGTACTCTTCTATTGAGAATAGCATGAACCAAATGAAGTAGTATCACCTCATCAGAGCTTGAGGCGTCTTTGGAAGACCCTAAGACGAAAGAGGCATTCAGGGGCATTCCTACAGAGTGGGCTTTTTATTTTATTTTATTTTATTTTATTTTATTTTATTTTATTTTATTTTATTTTATTTTATTTTATTTTATTTTATTTTCAGAGTGGGCTTTTTAAAGTAGCCGTGGGGTGCCTGGGTGGCTCAGTGGTTGAGCGTCTGCCTTTGGCTCCAGTCGTGATCCCGGGGTCCTGGGATTGAGTCCTGCACTGGGCTCCCGGGAGGGAGCCTGCTTCTCTCTCCGTACCTCTCTGCCTCTCTTTGAGTGTGTCTCATGAATACATAAAAGTAAAATCTTAAAAAAAATAAATAAATAAACAGAACTAGCCTCACATCTCATTACAAAGGTGTTTTGGAATTCAATTTGCCTTAAAACCTACTCTCTCCATAAAGCATCTTGGATGATTCTCTAGCAAAGAATGTTAGGTGACAGTTTTAATGTTTAGTTTGGTTGCTCAAATCTTTGACAACCAGTAAGCAGTGAAAGGAGGCTACCCCCCCATATACTGGTCTTTTTAACTTATCAAAACATCTAGACTGACTATACTTAACATAAAATCTTAAAAAAAAAAAAAAAGTAACCATGTGAGGTCATGGATATGTTAATTAGCTTGACTATAGTGATTATTTCACAATATATACATATATCAAATTATCAAACGATACACCTTAAATATTACAATTTTTGTCAACTAGACCTCAATAAAGCTGGAAACAAATTCTGAAGGGTGACAAAAGTACACAGTAGCTGTGCTGTAAAGCAATGATTTCAATAAACATGGTCAGTAAATGTAATATGGGTTAGAAACAATTCAAATTTTGGTTCCCAGACAGCTAGTGTGCATTAGTTTCCCCCTTAGTGGCCTGCAATTAGGGGGTGGTGTATACATTATAATTTCAAATAACAGAAAGTGCTGTGGATCAATCAGCAGCAGTCAAATACAGATAATTCAGGCTCAAGTGACAATAAATCATCACACTAATTCTATGCTAAAAACGAAAATCAGTTGGGTGGGGGAGGGCAGTTACCACTGGCAAAGTCCCACAGACCCATACAGGAGGGTCTGATAACTGGGTTACCTTGCTGGGAAGAGAGAACAGAAGAAAATATCCAAATGAATGTGAATCTTCTCTTTTCCACTGTACTTTCCCTAACACTCCTAGACTTTAGAGTATCGTTGTGTTACATAAATTAACCCACTGCTTTCTTTAAAAGCTGAACTCTCGGCAGCCCTGGTGGCACAGCGGTTTAGCGCTGCCTGCAGCCCGGGGTGTGGTCCTGGAGACCCGGGGTCAAGTCCCAAGTTGGGCTTGTTGCATGGAGCCTGCTTCTCCCTCTGCCTGTGTCTCTGCCTCTCTCTCTCTCTCTCTGTGTGTGTGTCTCTGTGAATAAATAAATAAAATCTTTTAAAAAAAAAAGCTGAGCTCTCTATATCAAACTATTTTTTAAAAGATTTTATTTTTCAAAAAATTATTTATTTATTTATTTATTTATTTATTTATTTATTTATTTATTTATTTATTTGAGACAGAGAGCACAAGGAGGGGGTGGTGGGGCAGAGGGAGAGGGAAAAGTTGGCTTCCCCCTGAGCAGGGAGCCTGAGGTGGGGCTTGGTGCAGGACCCCAGGATCATGACCTGAGCTGAAGGCAGACTCTTTTTTTTTTTTGAAGGCAGACTCTTAACCAACTGAGCCACCTAGGCGTCTCAGCATGAGACTCTTTCTTCAGCAAATAGTTTAAAAAATGAATTAGGATGGCACCCAGAGGGGTGTCTGGCTGGCTCAGGTGGTAGAGCTTGCAGCTCTTAATGTCAGGGTCGTGAATTTAAGCCCTACATTGGGCATGGAGCCTACTAAAAAAAATAAAAATGATAAGTAATAAAAAAGATGGCACCCAGAAAGGAAAGCATATACATGATTGTTTTATGAACTGTAGCTTCAGAATTTACCATTTGCAAGCATCACTGGACAATATGTAGTCTTAGGATGCTGACTGCACCATTAAGTCAAGTTTTGGGGAAGTGATTTTTGGTTACTATGGTAACTTCTTGGCAATATATCAACTTCTATGCAGTTATCACAGAACCAGAAAGAGAAGAAAAGAATAACATGGATTAAAATAGAGCCCTTGGGGTGCCTGGCTGGCTCAGCTGGTGGAGCCTGGGACTCTTGATCTCAGGGTTGTGAGTTCCAGCCCCACATTGGGTGTAGGTTTTTTTTTTTTAAAGATATTTATTAACAAGAGACACACAGAGAGGGGCAGAGAAACAGGGAGAGGGAGAAGCAGGCGCCCTGTGGTGATTCCTAAATGGGACTCCATCCTAAGACCCCGGGATCGTAAAATATCATTTAAAAATAAAATCTTGGGCAGTCCAGGTGGCTCACGGTTTAGTGCCACCTTCGGCCCAGGGCATGACCCTGGAGACCCAGGATTGAGTCCACATCATGGGGCCTGCTTCTCCCTCTGCCTGTGTCTCTGCCTCTCTCTGTGTGTCTCTAATAAATGAATAAAATCTTTTTTTTTTTAAAGGAGACTTGTGATGAGTGCTTTGTAAAATGCAAAGTGTCAGACAAATAACAGTTTTTAAAGCTGTGTCCATGCTTTCCCCCCCTTTTATGCTGTGTTTAAGACGCCGGGTAGAAACGCTAGCTTGTTCATTGTTTGCTTATTATAAGGCAATCCCTCTGCCTCAGTATTTAAATCTTTCTCTGTGCAACTACATGGGAGTCAGCAAACTGCTATACCGCCTGTAAATTCAGAAGCTCAGAAAGGCTAGGACCTATTTTGGGCTCCTTTTAGGAGACCCAGTCATAATCAAATACATTGCTTAATGCGCCAGGAACTGTGCCAGGTGGCTTACATACCTTGTGCAATTCTCACAAAAATTCACTGTGTTTAAAAAAAAAAAATTGACTGTGTTTGATGCAATCATTATTTCATCACGTGTAAAATGAAAGTAACTACACTTAAAAAGAGACTAAACATAAGGCACTTCGCACAGTAAGTAAGCTGACAAAAGTACTGGTAAGCAGACACAGAGAATAGCAATTTTCTGCCTTTTTCTATGTTTTTTTTGTTTGTTTGTTTGTTTTTAAGTATCTCCCAGGGCAGCCCTGATGGCGCAGCGGTTTAGCGCCGCCTGCAGCCGGGGGTGTGATCCTGGTGTCCCAGGATCGAGTCCCACGTCGGGCTCCCTGCATGGAGGCTGCTTCTCCCTCTGCCTGTGTCTCTGCCTCTCTCTCTCTCTCTCTCTCTCAATAAATAAATAAAATCTTAAAAAAAAAAAAAGACCCATCTGGTCCTTTAAAAAAAATAAAATAAAAAAATAGAAAGTATCTCCCCGTCCAAGAGGGGGAAACAAGAAATACCCACGGCAGTGGCTGAGCTTAAAAGCGAGGAGACCCTACCTACCAGCGCCTGGCTAAGCCACCTGCTCAGTAAGTAGTTGCTAAATTAACGAGACCTAAGACGGTTTCCAGCCTGGGTTTGCTAGAGGCCTCTGCGCAGGTGCCCCACCTGCAGACCCGGAAAAGGCTGTCCAGGTCCTGATCGAGGAAACCACTCCGCGGTCCCTTCTCAAAAGCAAGTTCCTGAGGGCCGTCGCGCCCAACCCCCTGCGACTTCAGGGGTCCCCGCCTACACTCACCACGCTCGGCAGGGGACCGTGCCCGCCCGGGTCCAGGGCACCGCCGCGCATCCGTCGCCCCGCCTCCCTCCAGGAAGGCGCAGGCGCACTACGAAGGCCGCAGCGCGCCGCGCGGGCCCTCGAACTACACTTCCCACAATCCCAATCGGCCAGACCACCGCGCGCTGGAGTGGGGAGCGGAGGCGGAGCGGATCGCCCCGGGGCGGGGCGGAGCCTTCCGGGATGCCGTCCCTGTGTCCTCCGGGGTGAAGTTCGTTTTAGGAGAGGCTCCTGGGCTCCCCGTTAAAGTAGGGCCTCTGTCTCAATTAGGTACGATTCTGGCCTCCGTCCCCAGTGTGGTCCCCTCCGTGTAAGCCGGCAGATGGTCTAGTCCAGCGGAGACGCGCGGACAGCGGAAGGGCAGACCGCGTACGCATGCGCAGAGGCGCAGCATGGGGGTGGGAGCCGCCAAGCCCCTTCGCCGCGGCCGGGAAGGTGAGTGGGGGACGGGACGGGGCGGGGCGAGTCCCGGGTCAGGACCGACCCTGCCCCGCAGAGCCCTCGGCTGGTGGTTCACCGCCGCCGTCTCGCCCACCTCCAAAAGCCGTTAACCCCAAATTGTTCAGCAAACTGGGGTCCTCAGGAGCTCAGCCTTAGCGTTCGTGCATCAAAAATCGCACTTCGCATTAAACCACTTGTGGCGTTTCATTGCCGTTATCTGGGTATAAGCCGTGCTCTTCTGCTAAACCATGCGTTCTATGTCTTTTTTTCTTTAAGATTTTTATTTATTAGACCATGCGTTTTAAAAACAACAGCTAACAACAACAACAAGAAAACCAAACAGCTAACGTGTCGGGAGGGCCCGCCCTTCGTCCCGGCGTCCCAGCATGTAGCAGACAGCTCCTTCTTGATAAGGTGCAGAGCTTAATTAAAGTCTTTCGGACACTTGATTCCATTCCGTGTCGAGTCAGACGAGGTACATACTTGCTCGGGTTCTCGGTTTCATGTGTGAGTCTTCCCATGAGAAGACTCCTGGAGATGATGAAGACGGTATTCCATCAGACAGTGGAGGTGTTGAGGTTTATAATCTGCTAGGGATACAGAGAATTAAGCAATTATTTATTGTGCCCTACCCCTAACCCCTAATTTTCCTTACACCCTGCTGTATGACTGGGTTATGTTGCTTAACCTTCTGGGCCGACGTTTTCTTATAAAATGAGAAGATTAGATTAGATCTCCAAGAACTTGCCAGCTCTGAAATTCTGAGGTCAGTGAGGAGTAGAATCCAGATTACATCACAATATGTTAATGCTACACATCATCAACTTCCATTTGTCTGCTAACATGAGTGAAATATGGCTGTAAGCGTTTGGCAGCAGCATTAGAAAGAACCGCCCCTTATTGTACCTGTAATTTTTCCCTGGTGGCTGAAAAGATGAGATTTGCTGATAATACAACTTTTTTTTTTTTAAGACTTTATTTACTTAGTTATTCATTGGAGACACAGAGAGAGAGAGAGGCAGAGACACAGGCAGAGGGAGAACCAGGCTCCGTGCAAGGAGCCCAATGCAGGACTCAATCCTGGGTCTCCAGGATCACGCCCTGGGCCAAAGGCAGACGCTCAATCGCTGAACCACTCAGGTGTCCCAGTACAACTTTCATGATTCTATATTTGTTGTCTATTTGTAGATCACTGTTAGGAAGAACTCTGGGTACAATTATGAACACGATGTACGTGACAACAGCTCAGATCTTAAGATCTCATCTGATAAATGTTTCAATGATACCTAATCGAATGAAAATGCTTCCATATTTCGGTGTCATTAGAAATAGAATGATGTCAACTCATAAATCCAAAAAGAAGATGAGAGAATATTATAGGCTGCTAAATCTGGATGAAGGATGCTCTGCGGATGACGTCAGGGAATCTTTTCATAAGCTTGCCAAGCAATACCATCCAGACGGTGACTCTAGTACTGCTGATTCTGCCACATTTATAAGGATCGAAGAAGCTTATAGGAAGGTTCTTTCCCATGTGATAGGACAAACAAATGCCCGACAGAATAAAGTTGAAGAAGCAGAGGAAGAAGAAGACAAATTCAAATATAAAACACCCCAACACCGGCATTATTTAAGTTTTGAAGGTATTGGTTTCGGAACCCCAAGTCAACGGGAGAAGCAATATAGGCAGTTTAGAGCAGACCGTGCCACTGAGCAGGTGATGGAATATCAGAAGCAGAAACTACAAAGCCAGTATTTCGCCAATAGTGTAATTGTTAAAGATGTAAGACAGAGCAAAGAACAAAAGATAACTCAGGCTATAGATCGTTTAGTAGAGGATCTCATTCAGGAATCAATGGCCAAAGGAGACTTCGACAATCTCAGTGGGAAGGGAAAACCTCTAAAAAAATTTTCCGGCTGTTCATATATCGATCCCATGACTCACAACCTGAACAGAATACTGATAGATAATGGATACCAACCAGAATGGATCCTAATGCAAAAAGAAATAAAAGATACCATTGATCAACTCAGAGAGGCCATTTTAGCATCAAGAAAAAAACTTGGGAATCCAATGACACTGAATGAACAGAAGCAGTGGAACCAAGTTTGTGAGCAGTTTCAAGAAGACATCCGGAAACTAAACAAGCGAATTAATGATTTTAATTTAATTGTTCCCCTCCTGACCAGTCAGAAAGTCCATTTTGATGCACAGAAGGAAATTGCCAGAGCCCAAGAAGTATATGAGACCCTTACAAAAACAAAGGAAGTCACAGATAAAAACCCAAACAACACTGATCAGAGAGAAGGAGAGAAAACACCTGGAGTCAAGACAGGTTTTTTTAACTGGATGAATGTGTGGAAATTTATTAGAATATGGCCACTTAAATACTCACAGTAGTGCCCCAAACCATCTTCAGTTGTGCTGACATCACACAGAGGCTGAGATTTATTGTTGTAACACAAAAGCCTGAGAACTGTGTGCCTCTGTACTTATTACAAAACTGATCACGTCTCCAGTGATGTGTGAGAAAGCTGTAAGAAACTGAGTCAGAAATGTCCAGCCAGCTTTGCTCTGAGGATGTTGCAAGAACAGAAGAGAATTTCTAGGAAAACAATCCATTCCGGCGCATGAATGTCAGTCCCAGGTGAAATGATTTAGGTCAGGGACTCAGACTGGGAATCATAAAGTCTTAGTGCAATTTTCAGTTCTAATAACTCAGAAAAAGTTGCCATCTTCAAAAAAGGTTACTGAACCAACAACAACAATCAAAAGCAAACCTTAAAAAGCATTCTCAAAGTCACAAAACTAAGGAAGTATGGGCCGTAGGCAAGCAAACTTTCACAATGATGCATGTTTTTTGCAAGCTTGCTGCATTTATACACTTGAGGTTATTAAAGCTTACAACCATTCTAAGACTTGGGACACTATGTGGGTGGAAATGTTATGATCAGGAAATTAGCCCAATAGAGTTACTGCACTCTTCCTTTTTTATAAAGACCTCTGTGGGTACTGAATAAAAAAAAACCCAAAAACCCACAAAATTGCTGGGTTGTACTTTTTCCTGCCTTAACTTCATTGTCTTAGCTATGGAGATCCATCAGCTAAGCTATTTAATATAGCTGTTCTAGAAGTAGACTCCAGTGGCCACTTTTAAAAGAGTTTGGGTGTATTTTCTGCCCTTTTGGAGGTAAAATAATAATAAAAAAAATCCTTGGGATCAATGGAAACTTAAGATTTCACTTCTGACTTCATCTCTAAGTCTCCCTGAAGCCTTTCTTTGTCGTCTATCAGATTCCCCAGAGGCTATTTCCATGTGAAAATCTCAATTTAGGGATATAATTTCCTGTCTTACGAACCTTTTCATAAATGAAAAAGATGTCTGAATTTTGTGCCAGTTTGCACTTTGGGCAAATGACAGGAGATTAACATTCGTGAGATTGTTACGTTCCATCCACTTTCAGAAAATCTGACTTTTTAGGTTTGTGTAATTGCTTTAGCCACAGAATTGGGCAACTAGAAGAATACAGAGAGTGGTCAAACAGAGCAGATCTGTTTCCTTATTTAACTCAGAATGCTGGATTATGGATGCGGTTGAGAAGTGGCACTTGCCACTCTGATTTTGAAAGAACAAGTTATTTTGTAAAATGCATGATGGTTAAGTAAAACTACATCTTCCAAAGGAAATTTCAGGACTTTCTACTTGGATGATGGGGTAATTAATTGGTATAATATGTGATTATTTTACTGAATGAGTTATGTGGCTTCTACAATGATGGCATTACTGTAAATGAAATTGTGAACAGTATGAAATAGAGCTACATAATGAGAACTATAGTTCTAAAACATTTTAGAAGGCTATGATTCTGTGAATCTTGTTAAGAATGGGAATTAGATGTATGATACCTAGTTGCATTGCAGCAACATAATACAAAAGACTACTTTCAATATTGGATAATGGGAAAGTAAACTTAACAAAAAATCTAGTAAACCCTTATTTTCAGCACAGCACACTTTATGTCTGTACATGTTGTCTATATTAATAAAATTAATTTTAATGATTATCCAATGGTCCCTTGTTATACAAACAACAAATAATAACTATTTTTGGCTGACTACCTGAAGAAATATTTTTTGTCTTTTTGATTGACGCTATAAAAGCTGTGATCAGAGATTGTTCTTAGGAAGAAGGCAAATTCACTTAGGGAAAAACAGATTCACTAATTTAAGAAATTAAGTTGCAGGCCCAAAAAAAAGATCTTGGCCAGTTCATCAGCGTTTGTTTTTTTGTATCTATTTATTCCTGAGAGATACACAGAGAGAGGCAGGCTCCATGCAGCAAGCCCGGTGCTAGACTCGATCCGGGAATCCCAGGATCACGCCCTGAGCTGAAGGCAGACCCCCAATCGCTGAGCCACCCAGGCGTCCCAAGTGTTTGTGGAACACAAAAGAAGACACTTCTCCTTCCTTTGATGGAGACTTGACCCTTTTCTGGATGTGTTACACCTTGTAACTTTGCCAATGTCTCAGATGTAGTAGTAATGTCAACTCATCAATAGACACATCAGTCTACCTAA